TTTTTTAATCAGCTTTTCGATTTTACCATTATAACCAGGCTAGAGAACTTCACAAAAGATTTATTGTATTGTATTGTATATAGCATGTATTGTATATAGCATGTATTGTATATAGCATTTCTTTCTGGAAATAAACAAAAAATAAAAACAAAAAAAAGAACAACAAAAAAAGCAGCTTCAAATAATGCAAATTCACCTCCTTTTTCTCTTTTAACGTACGAACATTGAAAATTCTAATTCACACCGGAATCGTTCCGAAATAATATTTGAAATCTTTTGTGTACAGTATATATATATATATATATATATATATATATATATATATATATATATATATATATATATATATATATAATATTAGTGGTAAATATACATACATATGCAAAATATATAAATACCCATACACGTATATTTTAGAATAAAAATTCCAAGTGGAAGAATCCAGGTAGAACTCAATGTTCAGGACAGAGTAAGGATATAATAAAAAGGCTTAAACACTAATATTCCATGGACATAATTTATTCCATTGGAATCTCTCTAAATTCTGTTTTTATTTCCGGAGTTTTTTTTTTCTGTTTTCTTTTTGAATTTGTAGGTCTGATGAATTGGATCGTATTTACGATTCCAATGGAATAAATTATGACCATGGAATATTAGTGTTTAAGCTTCCTTTATATATATATATATATATATATATATATATATATATATATATATATATATATATATATAATTCACCAGGAATGTAACCAACAAAATGAAATCACGCGATATAATTATTTTTAAAAAACGATTAAAAAAATAGCCAAAACGCTACGAATTTTAGTTCCGGAACAATATCTTACTTATAATATATGGATTATCTTATTCCAGGTGTGAAATGAAATGCCTGAAAATTAATTTTAGTTCCGGAACAATATCTTACTTATAATATGTCGATATATATTCTTGCCTTGTTTGTCCCCTTGTCGATATAATTCTTCTTGTTTGTATACACGAGATTATATTGCTGGCTTTGGTGTCCCATAGGGGACAAATTTGGAGGTCGGGTAAGTTGACGCGTTAGCGGGGAATTTGGCCCACTGCCTCTGATAAAATAGAGACCGATCGATTTCTATCGCATGGCCAGCGCTTTATTTCGCTTGTCTGACATTTAAGGATCTCTCGACAGTTAGCAAATTAAGTCTAGACAAAAAGATTTGTGTTATCAGGGAAATCAAATTCGTTGCTGAATATGCTTCTGTCTCATCGTTTCCATTCAATCTCGGATGAACAAATTTCTCTCTCTTTATCTTTCTCTCTCTTTCTCGCACACACACACCCACGCCCACTCTCTTTCACATCTTGTTCGTATCACACGATCTACAAGTCGAGACGTTTATCAATATTTATGCGCGCGTATAAATTAGTAATGCCGTCAATGTATGACGAAGTAATAATTACAAAGTGTGTGTCCTTTAAAATATTCAGTGATATTTATTAAAATTGACCTACGAGTCCCTCGATGGTCACTTTTCCATTAAATCTATACGTAGTATGGCATATGTCGAATATTAGATAGAACGGTCGAGAAACATATTTGTGGTAATCTGTTTCTTGTCATTTGCCGCCATTATTTGTGAATTAGTATAGAATACAATGGTTATACGTCTATATGCATAAAAATAGATATGTACTAAGCATTTAAAATATAATGTAATAATATACAAAATGGTAAATATTGATCGATTCATACTTGTGTCTTTAGAAGAAAATTTGTCGAATTTATACTCGATTCACTATGTAAAAATCGGTTCGATGGATACTTGAGACTATAGAATAAAATTTGTCTGATTTATACTCGATTCAATATGCAAAATTCGGTTCGATTTATACTTGAGACAATAGAATAAATTTTGTCTGATTTATACTCGATTCAATATGCAATATATAGGTTTTCAAGTAAACATCATACCAACTGTTCCAACGCTCGCTCACATATTCCAATTTTTTCGTCACCGAGGCCCGGTGGAACAGTTGGCATGATGTTTGCTTGACAACCTAACTGTCAGGGTTTCAATTCTCGGTAGTGGATGCGCACTGCTGATGAGTCCCAATTATAGGCCGTCCAGTGCTTTCTGCATTCTGTTGAGGTTTCTATCAGACTCGATGAATTACTTAAATATAATTATCAAATCCTCCTAATAATTTCTATCTGTGTATACCATGCTTGAACCGGCTTCTAATGCTCTAGAGTGAGCGGCTTGGTGAGAGTAGTCGTGGCTCCAGGGGGCACCGTCCTATGGTTACAGAGAACTCAGTAGAGTTCCGCCACGGAATATGTGAGCGAGCGGCGCTAAGTTGAGTCTGATTTGGAATCTCTTCGTCACCGAGGCCCATTGGAACTGTTGGTATGATGTTTGCTTGACAACCTAACTGTCAGGGTTTCAATTCTCGGTAGTGGATGCGCACTGCTGATGAGTCCCAAATATAGGACGAAACGGCCGTCCACTGCATTCTGTGGAGGTTTCTTTCAGACTCAATGAATTACTTAAATATAATTATATATTTGGTGGATGTTTTATTTTTATTTTTTTTTTATATATATATATATATATATATATATATATATATGTGTGTGTGTGTGTCAGCCGTCAATATATTAGGTTGGTGCAAAAATAATGACGTAATAATGTCGTTTTTGACCTTAAAAAATACGTCAAAAACGACATTATTACGTCATTATTTTTGCACCAACCTAATACCACATAACACCCTTGAGCGGGTAGAATGGAGATCAACGTGTTTTAGTGGACTCCACAATGTTCAATCTGCTTGTCTGAATCATCTTCAAGAAGCAAGGTAGTTTTCATTGTTTTTAAAACACAATTCTGCATTATTTTCACTCATACATTCGTATCTCCTCGATACGTATCCAAATGTAAACAAATGACGTCACACATTATGAAATGGACAAAGTCCGACAATTATTTTAAGACATATTTTATGTTTTTATTTTTATTTAAATATTTGTATCGATAAAAAGAACGTATAATCATAAAAAATGTCTTAAAATAATTGATGGACTTTCATGGAGAACTGTAAACAGTAAAATCGACCTTGCCAACCGAAATGCTCCTTTGTGGCTCAATCGGTAAAAGCACGTTAGGCTGTATGACCGTTCGGTATAAGATACAGGTTCGATTCCTGTCGGAGGACGCATATATATATATATATATATATATATATATATATATATATATATATGACAGCAAAATTGTCCAAATAATGTTATAGCATAATTGTCCATATCACAAAAATTTTAATATCTAAAATAACACTAAACTAATGGAGTTTCGTTTTTACAAGTTTTCAGAAAAGACCTTTAGCCATCATGATACCATTTGTCGTAAGAATCAGTGAAAAGAACCTTTGATTTATTCAGCTTGAAAGAGAACAGGTTAAAATCGTTTTGTGTCAGCCTTGCTGTCATCTCAAATAATCAATGGCGGGAGGAAAAAAAATCAAACCATTCAGCCTTTCAGTAATGGTAGCAACATTCATACTTTGGCTTCCGTCTCAAAGTTCATTCAAGAAACTCCAAGAGAACGTTGAATAAGTTTTCAAAAGAGGGAACAGGAGAGAGTAGAAGACTGGATCAGGAGGTAAAATCAGGAAGATGATCCTGGAATATATATATATATATATATATATATATATATATGATCCTTGTTTTTTTAAATTATATGAGTAAAAACTGCACTCAATTGAAGTTTCAAAAAAATTCAAACTTAGCACTGGAACTGCACGGTGCAAAAGTTTGTGTCCGTTATCAATAACACATTAAAAAAAATATATTTCGATTCGCCTTATATTTTTTCGTCTCGGATGCTACCTGAATTTTATCCAAAACAAAATAATTTCCATGCCTGAAGATGACTGAATGTACAGTCGAAAGTACTCGCGTATTTATAAAGCTTCGTTTCATATCAGGACGATCAGAGTGAATTTTTCGAGCTGTCGTATATTTGTAGTCACTATTAGACACATCCAACTCTTTAAAAATCCTTTGCACTGTCCTCAGATTGACACCCAAACATTTTGAAGTAGAACAGAACCTCGATTTACGAATTTAATTCGTTCCTGAACCCCGTTCGTAAAGCGAAACTATTTTTCCAATAGGAATCGATGTAAAATAGATTAATCCGTTCCTGCTCCCGAGATGATTGCTTATTCAAACTTTTACAACAGTACTTTGTGTGCAAGGTTATACATAAAACTAATTAATTTCATTAAATCTAAGAAAAAAAACTGAACAGAAAAAATATAGACGAACACTTCAATTTCTCCGTATCTGCATGTAGGAGAGTTGACGGCGTAAATGGAAAGAGAAGGAAAGACATGTTATTGTTTGGAAAATGGAAGGAAAGACATCATCTCTTTATTTATTATTTATATGAACATATATATATATATATATATATATATATATATATATATATATATAGAGAGAGAGAGAGAGAGAGAGATAGAAAGCTAGATATGAACATGGATACATAGATATGAAAATAATGATATATATATATATATATATATATATATATATATATATATATATATATATAGATAGATAGATAGATAGATAGATAGACAGAAAGTTAGATATAAACATGGATACATAGATATGAAAATAATATATATATATATATATATATATATATATATATATATATATATATATATATATATATATATATATATATATATATAGACAGAAAGCTAGATATGAACATGGATACATAGATATGAAAAATAATATATAGAAAGCTAGATAGAAAGCTAGATATGAACATGGATATATAGATATGAAAAGAATCATATATATATATATATATATATATATATAGAGAGAGAGAGAGAGAGAGAAAGCTAGATATGAACATGGATACATATATATGAACAGAATTATACATACAGCCAGATAGAAAGCTAGAAATGAATATGGATACATAGATATGAACAGAATGCTCGATCGATAGAAAGGAAGATAGATATTAACATGGATACATAGATAGATAGATAGATAGATAGATAGATAGATAGATAGATAGATAGATAGATAGTTAAGTTTGAATAGAATTACGAACTCAGTGGGGAGAACGAATACAAGCGAATGAACAGCTCAGATTTGAATAAATAAGATTTGAAGACTTCTGCCTACAACATTGGTATTTCCCGAGAGAACGTCTTTGGCAATCTTTACTCGTTGTCTACGGAGATTTGCGACGGGGAATTCAAAATGACATTAATGTGTTTTATACGTACACAAGAGTAAAAACACACAAGCACACAAGAACAGACGCACACGTACGCATGCCCAGGCACGAAACTATACATATAATGTAATTACATACAAGACAGTATGAATGTTCATTCAAAAGCAGAAATTAAAATGTGAATATATATATATATATATATATATATATATATGTCGCATATCCTTTTGTTGTTTTGTTGTTTCTCTCTGTCTGCTTGTCTCTTACTTGCTCTTTGTAAATACAAAGTAACCGAAAAGTTCTTGTTCTAACCTGATAAAATATGAAGAAATGACTAGGCATATTATATATATATATATATATATATATATATATATATATATATATATATATATATATATATTCCTTTTTTTTTTTTTGAACAATAAAAAAATATTAAAAAATTAAAATCTTCAGACACACCGGGTTGTAGATTAATATTCTTGCTTTTTTTTTTCCTCGACTAGTTTCGGCCAAAATGGCCATCATCGGGAGAAGAAATATTTCTGCTTGCTGGTAGCAGTAAACTACAGAAATTAATATCTTGATGGAGAAAATGAACTTTTGTCTGTAGTTTTCAATTGTTTTTTTATTGTTTTTATTAACATGAATCTTTATACATTCTTTGTGTTGGTCAAACAGTCTCTTTTACGTTGTTATTTGAGATAAGTGCCGGATGGATCTATACTTCTCGGAATTCCCCTGGTCAGTTTTATTGGTCCTGAAGAGGGGATGTGTCTCTGTTTAGTGTTTGTGTGTGTGTTATTTGGTTCTTAGGGAGTTAAGTGAGTATGATATGTGTAAGCGTGTGTATTGCTGTAGGTGTGTGTTATCATTTGGCTCATTAGGGAGTGAGTGAGTATGGTGTGTGTAAGTGTGTATATTCGTGTGGGTGTGTGTATAAGTGTGAGGCCTCAATACCTCCGTAAGCATGTCTGTCTTGTGTGGGTGAGAAATGTGGGTAGGTTTTGATTTGTAATGTTATATATTAGTACTATCTATATTGTTAAATTTATGGTTTAGGCCGGCTGGATAGTGTGTTTTTAGACGTTGTATCCACTTATTTTCATGGAACTCTAAAATCTTTCTAATGTTATCTGCTCTGAACTTTTCTATTCTCTCAATTATAGTGAATTTGGCATGGGTTTTGAAATCGTGTTTTTCCAGGCGGAAATGTTCTACAGGTAATAATTTTTCATGGGGAGTCGACTTAATTCGATTGCGATAATTATTAATTCTGTAGTGAAAGGTCCATTCAGATTTTCCTACATATTGTTTCTGGCATAGTGTGCATTCTAGGAGGTAAATTATGTTATGACTTCTACAGTTAGAATCGTTGTAGATTTTGAAAGTAGATTTAGTGATTGAGCTAGTGAATGAATTCGTGTGTTTCATATGATAGCAGCATAAACTTCTTTTGTTATTGAAGGAGATTTAGAAACAGAAAGCAGGCATCCCTATCGAAATATTTTTGGCGTTTAAAAGAAACAAATAAAACACCAAAAGTAAAATGGAAAATAATAAATGGAACAAGAACTTGTAAAACCTGGGATGACCCATGCCCTTTATGCCTCCATGAAAAACTACACATTATGAAGGTTCTAAAAAACGATAATTTATTAAATCAAAGAAATGACAGAACGGTTTTTTTGCCGACACCACCAAATATTCGCTTTGAATAATTAGCATTCTACACACACACACACACACACACACACACACACACACACACACACATATATATATATATATATATATATATATATATATATATATATACATCAAAATCTATTAACAATTTCAATTAAAGCAATAGGTTTAAAAATACATCTATTCATACTCTTAAGGCCCCTTTAAGAAAAGAGAAATACATAAGCACCAAAACCTCTCGGAACTAAAACATGAATCAATTAAAATCTTAGCATACAGTAAATAAAATAAAATAAAATAAACAGAATTAAAATTTCAATCAGTTAGAGCTTTATCAGGGAGTCTGCTAAGATTAGCTATTGTAGCTACACAAAAAAACAAAAAAAAACAAAACACGACCAAACCTTACACGACTCCAAAAACTTGACATATCACAAACACTCCGACTTCCTTCAAAGCGGTGATCCCTTGATAAAGAACAGTAGACCACACCTCCATTTCAAAACTATAAATGAGTAAAAACATTCCGTATCATCAATATTAAAAACAACACTTGAGGATGAAACTGCTGCCAACTAGATTAAGGTTTAATATTGGAATTAAACTAAAATACATCTGACCAGTTTCAAAACACAGTAATTTCTGTGCTGCAATGGAATCATATTTAAAAATATAATTATAACACACATATATATATATATATATATATATATATATATATATATATATATATATATGTATGTAAGTATATATTAAATAATATAATATATATGTATATATATATATACATATTATATTATATTATATATTATATATATTAAAAATAATATCATAAACACGATTAAAAATAGCCATTTTATTTCAACACTTCTGGTATCTTATCAAGTGATGGTGTTGAAACCTATCACTTGATAAGACACCAGAAGTCTTGAAACAAAATGGCTGTTTTTGTAGTGATGTTATGACATATTTATGTTATAATTTTTTAATATATAATATTTGTTCTACTCTGTATTGAGCACTCTTTTAAGAGTAGTATTTTTGGTTATTGGAATTTATTCAGTCTACACCAATCCTATATATGTATTGTGTCTTCTTCTAGTTTATATTTAGTTCTTACTTTCTTTCGCTGACTTCTCTAGGAGCTTTTTCATAGTTTCCTATCTGTCCCTTCTCCCAACAATGTGTCATCTGCATATCTTATGTTCTGAAGATTGTGCCGCCAACAACAAACAGATGCTATTTTTCCCTGAGTGCCTCGACTACATAAATTATTCTGACAGAATCCTCGTAAATATGTTTATGTCGCTACCAATCTCGCCAATCAGAATGGTGTTAAATAATTTTTTGTTCACTTTTACGATTTTTTAGTATTTTCACGATTTTTCTCTTCTGTTAATTCTTTTATATCGTCTGCCGTAAAAGTAAAATCTATAAAGTTTTCTATCATTCAATTCTCAAAAGCCTCCATCTTTTTTCATTTATTTGATGTAATATTTCAGCCTTCCCACTGGTTTTTAATTTTGCATTTTTTCTCGTTCGGCTTCTTACACTCATCTACAAAGCACAAAGCCTGAATTCGAGTAAAGTCAGCTCAAATCTACTCCAAATTTCTTAGTATCCGATATGACCCCAGCATCACCGAGGTCCGAACAATTACAAAGCTTCCACGGATTTTCAATTTATTCCAAATTGATTCCAGTAATTATTGGTATGTTAACTGTCATTAATTAAACTATGCACGATTCTAATCTTCATATGACAATTTCTTCTCATTTCTGGACAAGTCCCTGATATTTTCCATTCGATTTCACATCCAGGTCGAATGGCGCAGTCTCGTCCATGATCTCGTCGCTCTAGTTTTCATTATTCCCCAATATTACGTCACGTGTTATATCATTGATAGAGTGGGGGTCACTTTGAGTGTAGAAAATCTAAAGTATTCAGCAGTCTCTTTTCTATGGTAGTCACTGGATTTTATTATTATTATTATTATTATTATTATTATTATTGCTCTTATTATTATCATTTTATTTTATTAGTGTTTAGGGTTATTATTATTATTGTTATTGTTGTTAATATTACTATGTTTTATTATTATTAATGTTTATTATTACTAGTAGTATTCTTGCTATTGTTGTTGTTCTCATTTTATTATTATTATTGCTCTTATTATCATTTTATTTTATTACCGTTTAGGGTTATTATTATTGTTATTGTTGTTATTATTATTATGTTATTTTATTATTATTAGTGTTTATTATTATTAGTAATGTTCTTGCTATCGTTGTTGTTCGTATTTTGCTATCAACATTATTATTATTATTATTATTATTATTATTATTATTATTTCCCTTGATTTCTGGTGTATATTCATTTCCTGTCGGGTCTCAATCAAAGACCTAAGGTTAAAAATGACATCATGATATTTTCCACTGAGTAGTTTTGGAAAAAAATCACGCATATTTTACATAGATAAAGCCTTCCGTAAGGAGTGTGCACTCATTTTGAATAGAATTTTTTTTTATTTCTTTAAGGCGTGGATTACCGGGAATTCCTTCAATGAGTCTACTGGAATCATTTCCAATCAATCCGAGGGTTCCAATGGAATTCCAATGGAACTGTTAATGTCCTCATATGCCACATTTTTGAGAGCATTTTGAAGATCTTTAAAGATACATTGCAATCTCTGCAGACTGCAATATCAATAAGAAGGAACATTTTGTTCTTGTGGAATCTAATCACGATGTGTGGTCGATTATCATTTCATTATTATTAGTTTAGTTGTTGCTCTTCTTCTTCTTCTTATTATTATTATTATTATATTTTATTGTTATTAGTGTTTGTATTATCGTTGTTATCAATATTTTATTTTATTATTAGTTTTTATTATTATTATTGTTGTTGTTATTACTATTTTTATTAATTCATCTTAATATTATTAGTGTTTATTATTATTATTATTATTACTATTATTATTATTGAGTTTGAAAGCAGTACGGAGCCCAAAATGCACATAATGACACTCAGTCTGATAAAGATGTACCAGTCGTATGTAACAGGGCGCTAAACAGTGACAGGTTTTGAAAAATGCAGCGCATACACCCGGATGCAAATTAATTGAAACAAAACGAATAATTCCATTATTATTTCTTTTTTGGTATTTTCCAATGAAACACAACCCAGTGCACATGTTAGTACTTCGTATGCCCATTC